ACAGTCAGTAAAGCATTTTATTTCTTTTTAATGAAACATTTTTGGGCTCAGATATACACTTTCTGAAAAATAAGAAATAAAAACTAGGTGTTGCTGGAGAAAATCCAAATATCTCTAACCTGGACCTCTGCCGAAGGAGATACGCTGTGATTACTGGAAGAACCAAGACTAATTTAATGAGCAGTGGGTCTACTTTTTCAGCATTGAAGATAAAAATAAATATCAAGCAGCTGCCTGCTTTACTATGCAGCAGCCACAGGCTTTAATCTATTTGATGGACCATAACTTTGCATAGAAAACAAAGAATAGAGGGAGTATTTCATATTTATGAATCTATTATATTCACATGCTACAACATTGCACTATTTATCTTCGGTATATCTGCATATGTATATGTCTTTTGATATGCTATTCACACATAGTATATAGACATATAATACGCATATCAATATATAAGCATCCCCATATTTAAATTTAAGTAGTTAGCCATATTTGAAAAATGTATTACAGGCAAAAGACATGGAGCCATGCATGGTAAACACCACACTCATGTACCAGAAGTCTGTCTCTAAATCAGAGAAAATAAATCGCATACAGGTAAAATATAACTGTCAGGATATTTCATTAGAAAAATGCAAATACTTGGAAGTGCAGAATTACTCTTTTGGATATTACAGTCCCACACTACTGCTTTTTGTAGTGGTGGATATACTGGGAAAAAGTACAGTAGTTAGAAAGATTGCACAATTCCTCTTATACAGGTCTAAGCTCAGAGCAAAATCAAAATAGGAAAGCTTTTATTTCAAGTCAAAAGCACCACCTGTCCATCTTCCTGCATGCCTTTCAAATGTTACTGTTGAAAAAAGATCATCCTAGACTGTGTACTATTAAAAAGGCTCTCTATCTTGAGCAGTTGTGTACACTGACTGTCAGTAAGTGTGCTCGCTATGTAAGAACCCAAACTATTTACTGAGGGAAGATAAATCACCTTCCCCTAATATGATATCAGTGATTAGCAAAGTTATTTGAGCCAGCATTCCTTCTCAGCCATCAGGAATAGGACTGCAGTGCTTTACACAGTTAAGATGACAATGAGGCCATTAATTTTGCAGAAGACTTCCTTGCAATACCAGCTTCAGGATGAAATACCTCCATGCTTTTTGCTGAAGCTCAAACCTGGTGTCCACTCACCAAGTAGTCTGCATGACACAGGTGGCAGCAGCAGTCTCTTTGGGGCCAGGATGCTCAGAGCACCCAATGTCTTGCTGCAGGCCCTGCTACTGCCCCTGCTGCACACACCCCTCCCCTTCTCCTTCATTTTCTGAGCACACTGATGCTTTAGGAAAGCCAGCTACAATATTTTGACCCTGGCTTCGGACTGGAACTCCTCAGGATTCATCTCTTCCCAGCAATTTCTCTGTCAACACTGAGAACTTGGTTTCTCCTGTTTCCTTCTAACATACACGTTGGGCAGTCTATGGCAATACCCTCTTGGCTCAGTTTCTGAGAGGGATGGGTTTCGGAGTGTGAACTGGAAGAAAAAGCACCAGGCCAGACAGACCTGTACCCACTCTTTTTGTTTTTCTTGATGTATTGTTCCAACCTATAGCTTAGGTTCTGCTGTGGATCACCTACTGCACTTCCAGGTTTTGTGAAATAAGAGTCATCACAGCCAGACACACAAGCTAAATCATTACAAGTAAAGTATACATAAACACAGTCCAGAGATGCTCACCCTACACAATGTCAGGCAAAGCCCTACTGATCACAAGTTTCTAGGAATAGTAACTTGCTTCCTTATTTGTCCATAAAGTGCCTACTCCACATGGGTGCTTTTACAGAAAATAGATAACAACAAGAAAAGAAAGGATTACTAGTAATCCTCAGGATACCTGTGAGATGAGCAGAGACCTGCTTCTGGGTGACGGAAAGCAAGTGACAACTGAGGGATTAAGTGTGGCCTTGGGAGAAAGTCTTCTGAAGCACTTTCTGGAAAAGCTGTTCTGATTCATTTGCTTTCCTTTCTGTTAAAATATTGTGACTAAAAATTCTGCTTGCATCAGCCACAAAGCTGGCAGACTACTGCCTTATCCTTTCTGGTAAGAAATGCTTTATTCAGCCACATAAAGAAGGCAAACCCTCCCTGCGTCACTTGTTTTATTTGTTTCTTCCCAGGACTTTATGGGACAAGCTCATGGCTCATTTTCCATCGTGCTGACTAGCACTTAGAGAACAGATGATTACTCACTGTCATGCACGTAAATCTTTGAAGTGCAAAGAAAAGAATGTCCTAATTTACTTCTAAAGAGAAATCCCAGGATCCAGCAGAATTTAAAAACTGATTTTTCTAGGGCAATGCTTCTTTCATCTTCTGAATGCTAAATATCAAAAAAGAGAGCTCTATCTTAATTCAGGCTGAGCTCTGACCCTTGAAGTCGTATGATGCCGTCTGTGTTTACATGAGCACAGATTATTCTCCTCTGCGCCAGCTCACATAAGGCACATTCCTCTCAAGTTCTCTGAATCTTTAACACTCGTTCCACTCCCTCACTCCTGGCTCACTGGGGAATGGGATGCTGTGTTGTCTGAATGCTGCACAATAATTTCCCCCAAATCACAGTGAGAAGAAAGGCTGGTATTATTTCCATTTCATTGACAAGAGGCTGACTCATTATATTAATCTTTCCTTTTTTTTGGTACCTAATTGTAGTGGCAGCTTGCATTTTTTAATAACATTTAATACGCTGTACTATTTTCTATACTCAGAGAACAGATCCCATTAGTTTCACCTGCATTTACTCAATACTTCAGCAGATCTAATTTGTGCACTCAGCAGCAGAAGTAGCCTCATTAACCTCTGAACATGTTCGAGCTGCTTGCCAACAGCAAGTGAGAGCTCTGGGCAGGGATGTAATCCAGCCCATGGTGCAACTTTCAACAAATTTCATCGCTGTAGTAGACTTCTTTCTTCTTCCTTTTCATCACATGCCTTCCATTTCCATAAATAGCAAGGAAAAGATACTTAACCACAGCCACCCCCTCACCCACAGCCATGACTTAACAGTCATCAGAAAATGAAAATAGTAGAAATTGTAGTCAACTATAGCTGTGGCTTTCAGAGAAAGGCAAAATTTGGACATTCTCTTTGGTTTTAACCACCCAAATCCAATTTGTGGACAACAATGCTTCTAACTATGCAACCATGCTTCTTCAACTGAACAAAGTTCAGTTGAAAGCCCCCCAGAAAAAAATTGGGATCACATAACTAAAAATTTTACCAATCACTTAAGCGTACAACTGGGGTTGTGCTGATGACCCCCTGTTTGGTGTTCCCTGACTTCCAAATACTTAACTTTGCACTTTAAAGCTCTTTTAATGATGTCTCTCTCTCCCCTAGTCATTTTTTCTTACTATTGGAGCTATATGAACTCCTTTCCCCAGGCTAAAAGTCCGACGCGGGCAACCCTGAAAACAGTTTATTGCCCAAGGCTGGACCAAAGCTTATAAACCAAACAACAAAAATCAGAGAATCATGGAGTGGTTTGGGTTGGAAGGGATCTTTAAATCATCTAGTTCCAAGCCCCCTGCTATAGGCAGAGATAACTCCCTCTGGACCAGGCTGCTCAAAGCCCCATCCAGCGTGGTCCTGCATGCTTCCAAAGAGTAGGCATCCACAACCTCGCTGTGCAACCTGTTCCAAGTGTCTCACCACCCTCATAGTAAAGAATTTCTTCCTAATATCTAGTCTAAATCTATCCTGTTCCAGTTTAAAACCAGTTCTCCTCCTGTCACTACACGCCCTTAAAAAAAGCCCCTTCCTAGAAGCAGATTATAACTTAGTGCCCAGGTTAGTCACAGAAGAGCATGCAATAACATTTTGATTTTCCTAATTACTTGCTGACAACAGTGGAATGATGGGATTTCCTATACAGAATTTTTGAGCCCTATAAGGTCACGGGGTACAGACACCACCATGCCAGGCACTAACTGGAGCCTGGCCCCTTCAACCTCAGCTCCTTCAAACTATCTCTGTTAAAGTGAATTATTTGTTGGAACTGACCCTCCTCCACATGGAGCTGGCATTTTTCAAAAGAAAAAATGCTGTGTAGAAAAATTCTCAGTGAACTCAATTAGCTGGAATCTTCTAAATGCTGTCAGAACCCTGTACTTCCCCTCAATCTCATATGTGCAGTTTTCTGGAGAAGAAAAGCCAGTGTGACATATGATATGGAAACCTCCCAGCCAAATAGCTGAGCAGAAGTGCAAGCCCTTTTTTTTTTTTTTTTCTCTTGGCCTTTTCAAAAGGAGAAAATCAGGCATTTATCCCTCCGTACAACCAAGACAGCAGTTCACTGGGATGAGTCTCATTGAAGAAGCAAAGCAAACTCAATCTTTCTTGGAACTGGAGTAGTCAGAAAAATGGAGGACTTTCAGAATCTGCCTGCTTAAAGAGTTAAACCAAACCAGAAGAGACCACATGATGCATTTTCTTTTGCAAGAAGATTTTTTAGTAATGCTAAGCACACATAACTCTGAGAAAAGTCATGGAAAATAGATGTTGCAAATGAGCTTGAAACATATTGTCCTGAATTGTAGAGAGTCTATTCAGATAAAAATACAGGACTCTCTCTGAAGGCCTGTATGGGAACTGCTGAATCACAGCCAGAACCTCTGATTGACCACCTGAGGTGAGCAATGAATCAGCCCTGGGAGCACAGGTGAAGGCAATTCACCTGTGCTACCTGTAGGGGTGGAGCCTTGCTCCACCTCTCCTAGACCCATTTAAGAGCTGACTGCCCCTAGGGAAGGATCTCTTTTGGAGATTACTCCTCTTGGAGTCTTCTCAGTGAGTCCAAGACAAAGGTAAGCTTTCCATCTGCTCTTCTTTAGTGTGTTAACTTGTTTAGCTGAGCTTTTTAATATATTTCTTAATTATAACATCTGTATATTGATTTATTATACAAGGTCCTTTTTTCCTATCACAGTGAGGGCTTGGCTCTGTGGGTGTTCTTCAGCCAGGTACATAACTGGATGGTGGAAGCGTGATGCTCCTGGTTCTAGAGTTCTCGTTTTGTGCAATGGAGGTTAAAAAGGGCAGTATGTCAGGTGCCTCTGCTCTAGCAGGTCAAGGTAAGAGACTTCATTCATTTCAACCTATCTAGCTAGAGGTAAGGACACTTGACTACACCCAAAACTGCTATTCTTGGGTGTTCAAGACAGCACCAATTATTCTTCTCTCTTCAGTCTCTTTGAAAAGGGAGAAGGCCATGAGCTATGTATTTCTCAAGCATTAAAAATAGCTACACAACACAAACCTTTTTCTCCATCCTATACAGAAACATCACCCCCTCCCTGCACCCATCTCTCTGTTTCAGATAGGTTTCAAATGGTCACCAGCTACAGCAGTCAAGGCAAGGCCAAATTTGGGATTTTATTTTTAAAACCACTTGAATTCATTCTGTGGTATATAATAAGCTGGCATGTTGCAATGTTGATGGAAGAATATATGTCTGAGTGTCACAAAACTTGGTAGCTGGATAGAGGCAAGTGCAGTTCCTCAGTGTGTGTGGGCTGAGGAGTCCTGGCACTGCTGCCTCCTTGGCAGGCAGTAAAAAGGAGATGTTGGAGGAAGAGAGAAATGGGTGAGGGAGAGATGTGGCAAAAGGTCTGGAGGGATTGCTGGGCTTAACAAAGTGAGGAGTGCACAGAAAGAGAGCACAAATCAATAGGGAACCAGGCATCACCAATTCCTCTGTTCACAGGAAAAAACACCCTGTGTAACTGGCCCCAAGTATTGCATGTCAACCAGAAATAACTGGACTTATGAGTTTTATTCTCATGAGGATTTGTGAGTTATAGTACTTAAAATTTCAAGGCATTACAAATTTTTGCTATGGGACTCCCTTTAACCCCCTTGCTGCTGGTCCTTCTTGCATCTTCTGTGCTGTGGAAGAAGGTGACTGTTTTCCTCTGCTGTGTCGATGCTCCATAGGTAGAAACCAGGGTATCTGTGCTGGGGTTTCTGAAGCATAAAGTGGGAACAAGCCAAAAGAAAGACTTTTTCTTGTCCTGGGAAGGCAAGGGGAAATAATGAACAAAAATAAAGGAGGTGTAGGTGGGTGATTTTTCTGGACAACAGTTTAAATAAAAGATAAAAATTGACTGAAGGAAAACCACAGTGTGAGGGGGAGGTATTCCAGTGTACCAGATTGGAAAAATGTCTATTAATTTCTCATGTGAACTTTAGCCAAAGTAGATCCCTCTTAAATTTTTGAAGACTACTTGGGCAAAGTCCCTGCTGGGGGATACTTTTGGAAGGTAACTTCATTTATCAAATACATCTGCAACCTGTTGCTCTCCCACAGAAGACTGGGCAGAACACCTTCTATCTCACTTTTTCCCAAGATCTCTCAGAGCAACAACTGAACGCTTGTCAGGCAGCTTCCAAAAGCAGGACTCAACCTTTGGGATCTGAAACGTTGGGGCCTGACCCAGGGCAGTTAATTGCTGCCAGTGAACGAGGAGGGCAGAGAAGAAGCTGTGGGAATTGGCTTTGTGGATTGCAGCCCAGAGGCAGATCTCAGATGGTTGTGTCTGTGCACCAAGGGCAGCTGTGAGGAAAAGCCCTGCTCCACAAAGCACCCTGTGTTTCCTGGCATGCCAATCTCTCCAGCTCCCAGGGAACAGGTGTGTTTTTCTTTTCTTTTTTTCAAAGAGCAGTTTAGAATTGGCTTTTTTTCCCTCTGGATCACTGTTATTACCCATCTTGCTCCCATTCCTCTCTTCCAAACAAGCTACAAGCAGAAGAACAGCCAGGCATGCCTCCTTGCAAGCCTCAGGTACAAGGAGGAAGATTCAACAATGCAGTTGGAATGGCTTATGCCCTCCCTGGGCATCCATTTCTTCAGATTCTGGTGGAAAAACCCCATTCCCAGTTTGACTTAGGTTGAAGCCTCCTAGGTAAGAAAGGGCTGACTCACAGTGCTTGAAGAGAACACAGAGAACCCTTGTATAGATAGTTTGTTCTGATGTTGCTCTGATAAATCTTGCTATGGCCACAGCATGTAATGTCCATAGTTTCTCTTCCTAACAAGGGAAAAGCTGAGGTTGCAACACATCTGATGTAAAACTTTTTAAAATAGCCCTCAGTGAGGGCTTTTCACAATCAGCCTGGATGACTTTGCTGGGGAAGTTGAAAAGGAGTAATGATGACAGCACCAGTGCTTTCTCCTTGTGCATATGTGTACCTTAACATATGTTTGAAAAAAATAGTTCTGTTTCTAAAAAAGAAAAAGAGAGAAATGTTAAGGGGGTGGAATCACTTAAAAATTAGTGTAAGAATAATATGTATACTTAACATGACCTTAAAATAATGCTTCCAAATCTTAATTTGTTTCTTAGACAGACAAAGAGCTGATTTGTGTTCATTCTCTGTAAATCCCTCAATAATTCACAACTTCAGAAATGTGTCTATCTCCTTTAAGAGAAAGGAGAAGTTAACAGAACCAAAAGTGGTCAATGGATTGATCTTTGTTTTGTATTTTTGATGCTTTTCCCTTCACTGCACCTCTGGAAGTGATGTCACTTGTCAGAAGAAATTACTAATGCTCTGTTCCCCAGTAGCAGCAATAGGAACCTACATTTCTCCTACATGCTCCTCTTTGCAAGAGAATCTGGTATATCTGCATTTCTGCTCTTGCAAAAATTATTTCTGATTTCATCCTGAAAGATTCACACTGCAGAACTGGGACTGAGGCTGAACTTCTGTCCTTCAGGGTGGTATCAAAAAGGTGGGAAAGACTTGCAAATATCCAGCTGGAGGAGTGGTAAATAAGAGCTGGTGCTACCAGCTCCCCAGCATGAGGATAGATACCACAACACAGCTATGATTTTTATCAAGTTTGGTCATCCAGTGGACAAGCAAAGGATGAGATAAGACAGAGCTTGATACTGCCACTTCCCAGGGCACTTGAATTTCTTCCTCAGAATATCAGCAATGGCCTGCTGCTGGAGTGCCCATCCACTGAAGGGAGGCAACAGCAGCTTCCAAGGGTGCACTGCTTCATTTCCCTTCAGGTGAAGTAATAACTCAATGTCTCTTGCACTGGGGCAAACTGGTGGTGTATGTTTGAAGCACTCAATATAAGGTGCTTTCTAAATTCCTGCTGGTTCCTTGTATTTTCATGTTACACACCAGCTCAGAAACTCAGGCAGGTTATAGTTACAGATCACTGCCTTCCCCTCCTGGCTGGTGGAAGAGGCTGAGGGGTAGCTGGAGATAACTGCATTACGTTTTACTATTGTTCCCCTTGAACAGAACAGCAGAATCTCTTCTGATGTGACAGCACAACACCTAGATTTTTAGAAAGCCGGTCGCAGACTTAAAATAGAAATAAATATTGATTAGTGGGATGGAACGTGCACTTCCTTACACAGCTACAGGATCAGATTTGGTAATGCTTCCTTTCTTTCAATTGATGACTTTGGAAGCTGTGGGATCTAACAACACTAACATTTTTAATGCTTTTAGATACTATTTTAATACCTTTCTCATCAGCTTCTGGCTCAGACATTCTCTTTTGCTGAAACAAGTTCCCTGGACTTCTTTATTATGTCACCAAAAGTTCTCAAGCTTGATTTTGAGTGGAAAAAAATAGTCCTCTATAGAGCAAAAAATTAGTTTGACAGGAAGAGCCCAAAGCTTAGGAAGGTAGAGTTTGAAGCACCATTATTTAAAAGGGGTTAGAAGAGTCATAGAGCAAAGTGAGGTGTTTAACTGAAGAAGGGGCACCTTGCTTAGGAAGTCTTTCCCAAGCACATGTTGAAATCCTCTCAGTGCTGGGGCATTGGCATCTGTGGAGCTGTGGGCTGAGCCAAGAGCCCAAACCAGTGGTGTCCAAACTCAGGCTTTATCTCTGGCTCACTGCCCACTGTCATCTCACCCAAAGCCTCACTGTGTCTGCACTGCTATGGTTAGATGCAAACAATATGCTTATCTTTTGTGAATCTGAGTAGGTCATTAAAGCTAAGGAATTTAAAAATTCAAGTTAATACATTAAAAAATCTTTCAATTTTTGATTTGATTCTCTAAGCTATTAAATCATCTTTAAAAATGTTTAAGGCAAATTTTCACACAGAAGGGCCTTCAAGGAAAAAAGTTTACGACTTAAAACATCAAATTTTAAAAATGCTTTTAATCTTGATTCTGTGTTTTCAGTCTCTCATGGCTCTGTGGTTTCTTCACAGTAGCTGTCTTATCTGCATTTGCCGCTGAGATCAATAAAGAGATGCTGATTAAAAGAAAAGTGGCTGGAGATCTGACTTGTCTGTTTGGTGTTTATCCCAGACCTGACTGCAGTGCTGCACAGGCTCTGAACACAATGCCAAATTTGGCCTAGTCTTGTCTTCTGGTACACAGACACATGCTTGAGTACAGCTCCAGCCTTCACCAACAGCTCTGCTAGAACAAATGTGCCTTAAAAAATGCACCTTCAAGTTAGATATCAGAAAATTTCTTCTTGGAAGAAGTGGTGATACTGTGGCACAGGCTGCCCAGGGAGGTGGTAGAATCACTGCCCCGGGAGGTGTTCAAGAACTGTGGGGATGTGGCACTGAGGGACATAGTTAGTGGGCATGGTTGGACTCAATGATCTTAGTGTTTTTTTTCCCACCTTAATGATTCTAAACTCAGTCACAGCCATTCCTTAGCAGTCCCTTGTTAGACTCTTTCTTTTAAAATGTGACTTTTAAGTTAGATATACAAAATACACTGTGCCTCAGTATTCGTAGTCCAAATGGGCCACCATGAAAATGTAGTTACAAACCAACCTTAATTACCACAGGTGCCCCAGGGACGCATTTTTTATAAGTATCAGAAAGAGACAGATCAGCATCTGTGTCCTGAATTCTTTATTGGTGTATTTTTGTTCTGCCATGAGAAAGGACTTCATGAGCTGCTGGAACACAAAGATTTCCTCAGTGGGTATAGCACTTAATATAACAGTGGTGGATAGCAGATATAGAAGGATATCCAGTGCTTTTGGCTGGATAATGCAGAACACAACACCAACTCTCATTTCCTAGTTTACCAAGTAACACAACCACTGATGGACAAACCACTTTACATAAAATCCGAGGGACAGACCATCAGCTCAGCAATAGGGATTCAAGTCCAACAGTATGCACTACTTACGGAAAGAAATCTCAGAAGGACAGAGAGCAATGACACACTTTCCAGTGGTAACAAAAAAAACCATGCTCTGATGTTGTCTGTGACAACTATTTTCATTAGGTTTGATGAAAGTGAGCCAAGGAAAAAGGCATCACGCTGATAATAAAACAGGCAGTTGGAAGCTCATTATTGTACCATTTACCCGCACCTCTATGTAGGCTGAAATCCGTTCTGCCAGGCTTCTCACTTTTTAAATATATCACAGACACAATATATGCACAGACGAATCGTGAGGTATAGACCTGTCAGGAGGCAGACTAATGTCAGCACTTCACCCTCCTGGCTGTCAGCTCTGATTCCAAATAACCTTTTGTCTTCTTGTTTCACTTACTAAATTACAGATCAAGCAAAAATGTAATTATACCCCAAAAGGCCACGGATAGCATCTTAAAATACACAGAACTGTGAACAAAACAACAATAAAAAGATAAAACTAGTACTACCCATGGTGCACAGCTAATCCAAAACATTCTGCAGTCCCATATGGGCTATTACAGATGCACTTCCTCTGCTGAAACCTGCTTCGCAGGGACAACCCCCATTTTTAGTGTAATTTTGCTAAAGGAAGTCTCATGAAAAATACTTCTCTCCTGTTGCAATAAATACTTTGTTATACTGCTACTGAGTTCAACACCTGCATTTTTTAAAGTAGTATGAGGTTGGTAATATTGAGCCTTATTGTCTATGCACAAATTTATTTGCTGAATATAGAGAAGTAAAAAAAAATCCAAACCCTATAGGAATACACTGTTCTTTCAGGTAGCTCTTTCTGTGTTATGCTGGATTGTAATCTCCGCCAACATACCTCATTTTCATCCATTCTGGAAGTGCCTTAAGCACTGCCTGTAAATTCATTTGGCCTGACAAATTCAGCAATGCATTATAGACCAGATGGAATTAATCAAATCAAAGGGAGGGGAAGAGGGGAATCAAAGGAAATTATTTTTCCCCTACTTCCTAAAATACATAACTAAGTAGGACTAATTCATTTGAGGTGGTTGGAGTTGACCAGCTATCTCTATCTCTTAATCTACTCGTATTTTAAAATACAGCCCTGAGAATACAGCCCAGCAGTAGATAGGGGAAACATCACTTCTCTGTCCAAATGATGTGCTAGTCTACCAGTATTTTCTTGTGGACTGGCAAAATAACAGACTCAAAACCCTTATAGAGTATGGACCTCAGAAGACACTGAGTTATAGATTCATCTCTGTGAAACAAACCTGAACAGATTTTCCTGACGCCAGAGCATAGATGCCACAGACACATTTTCCATATCCTAAAGGAAGCTGTAAGACGTTCAGATTTTACCCCACCACGTTCCCTGCCATCAAATAATGCCATGGCTACAGCCTGCTTCTTGTGGATGAAGAGTGAACAGAAAAGGGATGGGAAACGTGACTTTCATTTCACTGTGAGCAGGACTGCCTGTCTGTTGTACGGTCAACATCAGGCAGTCTGACAGAAAAGGATTTGCCCCCTTAATTCTGCTCTCACAGCAAGATCTATTTTCCCACACTCCTTGGCATTGGCAAAATGAACACGCTCCAGTTCAGACTCACATATTTAGCTCCCATTTTGCTTGTAAGAGCTGGAATTGAATAGCTATAAATAGTCACGATGAACAGAGGTCAATACATGACTTACAACAGGGCAGGGTGATGGACGACGGCACTGGTCTCAGAAACCAGGCTGGTAGTGGATACAGGAAAAGCTGCAACATCCTGTGCAAAAAGCACTCCAGATAAC